AAAAAAAAAGAGAATTGCTGTTTTAAGTGCTTTTTTTTTACAAAAAGTTATTTTCTCAGCATGAGAAAGTAATTATTTTATATAACTATCTTCAGTTACAGAAATGTTGATTGGAGCTTTCTACATAGATATTCATGTCATAAAAAAAAAAGGAATTGCTGTTTTAAGTGCTTTTTTTTTACAAAAAGTTATTTTCTCAGCATGAGAAAGTAATTATTTTATATAACTATCTTCAGTTACAGAAATGTTGATTGGAGCTTTCTACATAGATATTCATGTCATCTATGAAAAAAATTCATTTTTGCATTTTATAAAATATTTATTTCCTTTTTACTTGTAACATTGCACTATTGAAATATTCTAACATGCTTTTTTTTTTTTTTTTTTTTTTTTTTGGTACTGGGGATCGAACTTGGGACCTTGCACTTGTGAGGCAGGTGGCAGAATCACTGAGCTAAATCCCAAGCCCCTAACATGCTGTTTAATGGAGATGGTGTGTGGTACCTTAATAGTTCCCACCGCCTAAAAGTATCTACTTTCTGGTGATTAATTACAATATCAAGTGTGGCTTTGAATACACATTTCCATTCACTTTGAATATCTTTTCTATTTTTTCCTGAAATTATCTTTTAAAAATTATAAATGGTTTTGTGATTTTTGTGAAATACTTATGTGCATTGATTGATATGGTTTTTTGCCAATATATATATATATATATTTTGTTTTTGGTACCAGGGATCGAACTCAGGTCTTGTGCTTGCGAGGCAGGTGCTGAACCACTGAGCTAAATCCCCAGCTACCAATTAATATTTTGGATTACATTAATTTTCAAAATTTAAAACAGTCTTGAATATGTGGAATTAATTCCACTTGATTACTGTGTGTAGCTCTTTTAATATATTGTTGTATACTACTTGCTAATCTACTGAGGAATTTTTTTATCTATCATGTTTATGGAAAGGTTAAACTGTAGTTTTCCATTTTTGCAGTGTCTCATTAAATGGAAATGACGACTTCCTAGTTCTTTCCTTGCTGGAGCTTAAATTGTATGTTCCAAATATTTTTTCTACTTTCAGATTTTCTTGGGGGAGAAAAATAGATCAGAACTTTATAGCAGTCTATATAAAGTACATACAGAAAACTCCTAAATGCATATCTCCGACTTTCTCAAGTTTCTCACAAATTTTTTTGTCACTTTATGTACATAAAAGCTATACTCTCTTTTAATTCAGTAACAATTTCTCCTAAGTTTTGAAAATTCACTTCAAACACACGTTCAGGTAAAAGAAGCCTAAAAATGAAATTACCTTGGATATGAAATCAATCGTATACACATATCTAACAGATGAAGCGTTACAGACAGTTAATGTACCCAGGATTGCATTATTGCCCTAGAGGTCTGTAGTAGTAACTTTAAATACTTACCGAATCTGATTGTAACTGCTTCTCATTACCTGGCACTCTCAATTTAAACAGTAATTTCAGCAGTTTATCTGTGCTCTGCT